TTCCATTGTCCTACAATATTCAAACTTCATAGGATGATTGTCCATATTTGGTAGAAGACCCCTATAGATTTTGGGGTCACAGGTCAAAGGTCAAGGTCACTATGACCTTAAAACTGAAAACAGTTTCCGGAGCATAACTTAAGTTCCCATTTGGCCCACAGTGTTCAAACTTCATAGGAATGATTGTCCATATTGGGGTAGAAGACCCCTATTGATTTTGGGTCATAAGGTCAAAGGTCAAGGTCACTATGACCTTAAAACTGAAAACAGTTTCCGGAGTATAACTTAAGTTCCATTTGGCCTACAGTGTTCAAACTTCATAGGATGATTGTCCATATTGGTAAAAAGACCCCTATTGATTTTGGGTCACAAGGTCAAAGGTCAAGGTCACTATGACCTTAAAACTGAAAACAGTTTCCGGAGCATAACTTAAGTTCCATTTGGCCCACAGTGTTCTAATTCGTAGGATGATTGTCCATATTGGGTAGAAGACCCCTATTGATTTTGGGGTCACAAGGTCAAAGGTCAAGGTCACTATTACTTTAGAAATTGAAAACAGTTTCTTGAGCATGACTTTAGTTCCATTTAGCCCACAATATTCAAACTTTATAGGATGATTGTCCATATTGGGTAGAAGACCCTATTGATTTTGGGTCACAAGGTCAAGGTCACTATTACCTTAAAACTGAAAACAGTTTTCGGAATATAACTTAAATATCATTTGGCCTACTGTGTTTAAACTTCATAGTATGATTGTCCATATTGGGTAAAAGACCCCTAATGATTTTGGGTCACAAGTCAAAGGTCAAGGTCACTATTACCTTAGAATTGAAAACAGTTTCTGGGGCATAACTTAAAGTTCCATTTGGACCACAATATTGAAACTTCAAAGGAGGATTGTTATTTGAAGGAGGTAATACTTTATTTTAGTCCCATGTCTTACAAATGCTTCATCTTTACTAAAAAAAAAACAACACTTTCGGGCATATAATGCTCCGCCTAGCGGTGCTCTTGTTATACTTCAGAATAGACAAATGTACATGAATGATGTAATTGAAGATCATAAACAGGAAATGTCCAAGTTTCAGCTGCATAAGAAAAGTACAACAAGCCTAGAAGATGTTGACAAACAGTTTCTGAAGATTTATAATACACACGCTAAGGTACAACTGTCAATTTGGCATTTTAGTTTTATTCTAAAACAGAGCAAAAGATGAAGTGACCAAAAATGTTTTCTTTTAGCTAGCTTTTCAGCCTAAAAAATGGATAAGACATCCATGTGACTAAGTGGTTAACACAGCAGATTTGTAATCTGCTGATTATATGGGTTCAAACCCCATAAGGGACTGCAATTTGTTTTTTCTGAACTTTATACTCAATGCTCAGTACTGGTTCGGGTTCCAGGAAAGGATTCTAGTGTTTCAAAAAGGTTATTATAGCTTCCAACACAATCAAACTAAGACACCATTCAGGTTAACATTCTGGTACATGCAGACTCTAAAGTATGTAATTTCGAGTCTGAATGACTTGAGCTCAAAGGTCAAGGTTATATTTACATGTATCTTTTCTGAAAAAAAAAAGAAACATACAGACTGGGTTATTACAAAAACTGACTAAACCTGTTTGGAAAATTGAAATGTCGTAGAACTATTCACTAGCAAATTTAAACTAAATATCTTTTTTGTATTCATCTAAAAATGTTATGCTAATGTAATATTGGCAGTTTAGGATTTACTTTTTGAATTCTTGAAGACACTGTTAATCATTACCCCTCTAAATATCTTAAATGAAAATGTTCATCTAGTTTTAATCTGAGCAAAACCAATCAAGGCCACTTTCTAAATTGTAAGACTGCCTATTCTATTTTTAGAACAAAGATCCTAGAAGAGTAAGGTCAGCTTGTAGACCAAGGTCGGGTTATAGAGGTCAGATTTCACAAGCAGCTGCTATGGCTGACAGGGCAGATGTTAGAGTTGAAGATTTATTAGGTCAACAGGTGTCACAGGGTCATAATGGTGTTGGTGGTGATGTTAACAGCAACAGTGTGAGTATTTAAAGGTTGTAAAAGAGAAATAATCCGCGCCACAACAAAACCAACATAATGCGTTTGCGACCAGCATAGATCCAGACCAGTCTGCACATCCGTGCAGTCTGATCAGAATCTATGCTGTTCGCTTACAAACCCTTTTACAAGAAGATGAACTGATAGAGAACAGCATGGCTCCTGATCAGACTGCGCAGATCTGCAGGCTGGTCTAGGTCCGTGCTGGTTGCAAACCCATTATGTTGGTTTTGCTGTTGCGCAGCTCAAATATATCCTGTTCTTTAAAGACAAGTGTTTCTTGTCAAGAGGATTCTCTATTCTGTTTAAGCATTGAAGTGTTGTCTAAGGGTGGCATATTTGTTATGAAGAGTGGTCTTTAGTTGACACAATTTTGACTGTATATACTGATTGCTAGTACATTATGCTGAACAAAAAAACAACAAAAAAACTTGTTACATGTTTGTACAATATTGGAAATAAAATGTTAATTACAAAAAATTGTTGTTTGTTAATTTAATTTTATTGAATGAAGCTTTATTTTATTATGTACTATTCCTCTTACACTTTTCCTAATTTGCATTACTTTTCCTGATTGCAGTAGATATTTCTTATATTTATATATTTTATTACTGCACAGGCTTTTAGTGCGTTGTACAAGCTGGATTCTAGTGAAGGACAGAGACAGTTATACAGGCCTAGAGAACATTTCGATGATGCAAATAGATATAAACAGGTACGCATAGACAAAATATTTTTGTTTGCATATGAAAGTCAAGTCATCAGATAAGTGCATTACAATAGGATCTCACCACAACCTATTTGTTAACAAAAGATCTTATGTCAGTATTTGTGGTTAAATCTATTTGTATTCAAATAGAAGGTCAGAGTAGGGATCTATGCATTACATTGTGAGCAGACAAGATTTGTAGTAAGGATAACTCATGCCTGACCTTGACCTCAAAATCACCTTGACCTTTATTTCCTTACACCTTTATTAGCCAATTAATTCATAGTGTGCCTTTTGTTATTTATAAATGTGGATAAATATGTTGATATTTTCCAAATTACTATTTTGAGAACAGATATCTCTTCAGAGTCATAATGTTGAAATAATCTATATAAAGTTTTATAAAGTTTTAAATTGGTTTTGGTAATTATTTAGTTTCAATAAATTTCAGAATAACCTATTTGACCCAGATGTGATATTTAGCCCAGAGTTATTGGCACCACAAAGAGAGGCCAAAGGAAGGCCTGGCAGTGCTACCAGTTCATTATTAGGGTCTGGTATAAATCTTAAAAATAGACCAAAATCTGCTTCAATGGGTAATTATTTGAGCCGTTTTTATTTGTAATTTTAAACAATTTTAAAATCTAGAAAATTCTGGCTATATGAAGGTTCAATAATTTTATTTGCTTGACAATTTGAAGAATAGGGGGAGCTATCCATCACACTGGTTACGTTTTTGCGTGCTTACAGACTGTGTCTTCAAAACTAGTAAAGGGAATGGGTTATAACTTCAAGCATTTTTGAAAGCATAATATTAAGTCACTGTCTATAACATGGATTTTGACAGAATTATGACTATCATTGAACTAAGAAAATTCTACTTAACCAAACTCTTGTTTTTCTATCAAGTGCATTTCTGGTTCATTTGAAAAAATTTTATTGACACAAAAACATTGTTGACAATGTTATTTCCATAAATGATGATGAGTATGGAGGGCAGTTGTCATGTACAAGAATAATTATTAAACAAAATGAAATTGTGACCAAAAAAAAAAGAAAAAATTAAATTAGAATAAAACATTTGAGATCTGATTATGTATAGAATTGTTATAGAAAAATCGGTCATTTTTGCTCATTTTTTTGGAAGTCAAGCTTTTGACATTGCCTTAGTTAATTAAGTTATTTAACCTTCTTATTAAGGGAGTTTTCTCTGTGATTGTCAAAGATATCCATTTAAACTTTGGAAAATTTATCTGATAATTACAGGAAAAGGGTTCCATTTTAGCAAGCAATTACAGACATGATTTCAGGACAATTTAACTTGAAGTTGTCATATCTGTAAAAGAATTTTTTTTACTTATTTAGTAATTAATTTATTGATGAATTGGAAAAAAACATAAGAAATTCTAATTTCTTTATTACAGTGTTCATGACAGAACCAAAACCAGAGCGACCACTGAAATACGAAACTACACGGCCTACATCCGGGAAAAAGCCTCGGCCTGGCAGTGGCACTGCCTCACTTCGTGGACGACGTCACTCGGCACCTACAAGGAGACAGGCTCCGACACTGATAAACAGGAAGGAACTTCACAATAGATCTGAACTGGATCACAATAATGAGCCAGAAAATGATGAAATTGAACCAGAGTTACAGAATATTGAAAACCAGAATATGAATACAAGTTTTAATGAAGGAAACTTAAGTGATGAACAAAATTGCTGTGGAGACAACATTGTGAAAGAAAAGCCACCCATAAAGGTCAAGGTCAAGAAAGGTCATCCTATGGACAAATTTGTAGAAGATCTGAGGCTCATGGGTGAAATGGAACTAGATTTTAAGAATTCTACTTTACAATTGCAAAAGAAACTTGGTCTTGATGGAAGTGGTTTTATTTACTAAATATGAGTAAACTTACAGTATTTCCCAAAACAAAGTATTTTGATATAAAAGAATATTTTATTTTTTAAGACATTGTATGTTATTAAGCTGTTTTAAAAATGCTAAAAATAAGAGAAATTTCATGTTTTGATTGACTGAATCTCTTTATTTACACACAGGAATACTTATTTTGAGGAGACTTCATAAACTTGAAGAGGGTGGTATTTGAACTCATATTTTTAAAATTATATGGAAAAGAGTTTTGTCCTATCTTAGAAGCTGTGTCTTGAATACTGTTGTAACAACAGGGTTAGTAGCTGGTCACTTCTAAAGAAATTTGTAATTACTAGTTAGTTAGGCAGGTGTGCTGTCCAAATAGACAGACCACAAAGATATGAATAAACAGAATTGAAATTGGCATCAAAACCAGAGAAACAAACAAACAAAGTTTCATAGAGTGTTTCATGTGAAAACTTAATTACAAATGGCAATGTATCTATTCAGTGACATCAGTTCATTTACTCAAAATCATTTACATTTTGCATAACTTTAAAAATAGCAAATTCTATTTCATTTGGATTAGTTTTATTACGGATCCCGTAGAGCAAATGGTTAACCATTTTTAAATTTAAAGTTTTGATACAACATAGACCAAAGAATGGGAAGTGGTGTACAATTTCTATATTTTAAAATCGATAGTCATGTGTCAATATTATAGTTTCAAGACGATATGTAAATATTCTTTAATGGCATAATTTATTTACATTATAGATACTGATCATATTTATTTTTAACATTTAAATTGTTATACTAAAATTGCACTTTGCAGATGGTAATTTAAAAGATGTATACATACTAAATGTGCTAACTTAGAAAGGGCATGACCATTTCATGTATGGACTGTAGTAATTATATGTATTGGCATGGTATATTCATTTTATTCATCCATGTTGTTTTCATATTTCTAGTTTACAAATGAGCCGTGTCATGACAAAACCAACATAATGGGTTTGCGACCAGCAATTGGATCCAGACCATGCTGTTCTCTATCAGTTTCTCTACTTGTAATAGAGTTGATAAGCGAACAACATGGATCCTGATCAGACTGCACGGATGCGCAGGCTGGTTTGGATCCATGCTGGTCGCAAACCCATTATGTTGGTTTTGTCATGACATGGCTCAAATGTACTGTTCCTGCTTGTAATACAGTGTGTTCCTGTTATTAGTGATGATCAAATACTTTTTACATGTTATATGGCCCAGTATATATATTGATACCTTGAAAGCCAGGTAATGATATCCAAGGCATTAGGTATTTAAATGGTTATATGGTCAGCAGCCATTCATTCTTGGCCATATAACCTGTCAAAAGTCATTATAACAACCATATAATACTGCCTAAATTGCTTTATCTAATAAGTGTAATAAATTCCATGCATTGGTGTTTATAGATAATATAAACATCATGATTATCCAATGAAAATCATTGTTAAAAACATGCATTATTATAATGAAATAAATAGTTCTGTTTCTATATAATTATAATAAAGAATCATAGAAGGGGTATTTTTTTCCTATATTTTTAAGTACATGAGCTTATCACATAAACCGTGACGCAGGAGTGTAATCAAGCCATTTTATAAAAACGATATTACACTACTGTAGTGTAATGACACTTTGATGTGACGTCAATTGCGCTATATATAAACATAGTGTAAAAGCGCGCGTATGTGTAAGCTTTACACTAAAAACGTGTCAATGAAAAATGGCTCTTTTTTATCAGTTTACCTATGTGATAAATAGAAAATTATATTCGTGTAGATTCAATACAAAATTTATTGAACTCGTTGAATAAAACAATATTATGCTTGCCAGAGACTCGCATAATATGATTTTATTCAACTCGTTCAATAAATTTTGTATTAAATCTACACTCATTCAATATCCTCTATATAAATAATAGTCTCACATGTCAGAGTATCATAAACATTTATTTTAAATGTATTTTATACAAAGTCTTTGCAATTTTAACATATTCAGGCCATGTATTTTTTATTAGCTCACCTGTCACAAAGTGACAGGGTGAGCTTTTGTGATCGCTTTTCGTCCGACGTCCGTCTGTCGTCCGTCCGTAAACTTTACCTTTAAATGACATCTCCTCATAAACCACTAAGCCAATTTCATCCAAACTTCACAGGAATGTTCCTTTGGTGGTAACCTTTAAAAATTGTTCAAAGAATTTAATTCCATGCAGAACTCTGGTTGCCATGGCAACCGAAAGAAAAAACTTTAAATATCTTCTTTTAAAAAACCATAAGAGCTAGAGCTTAGATATTTGGCATGAAACATCTTCTAGTGAGTGTCTGCCATGTTTGTTCAAATAAAAGCCCTGGGGTCAAAATTGGCCCCGCCCCAGGGGGTCATTGATTTTCCCTTTATGCATATAGTAAAAACTTAAAAAATCTTCTTTTAAAGAACCCAAAGAGCTAGAGCTAAGATATTTAGCATGAAACATGTTCTAATGGGTGTCTACCAAGTTTGTTCAAATTAAAGCCCTGGGGTCAAAATTGGCCCCACCCCGAGGGGTCATTGATTTTCCCTATATGCATATAGTAAAAACTTAAAAAATCTTCTTTTAAAGAACTCAAAGAGCTATGGCTGAGATATTGAGCATCAAACATGTTCTAATAGGTGTCTACCAAGTTTGTTCAAATAAAAGCCCTGGGGTCAAAATTGGCCCCGCCCCAGGGGTCATTGATTTTCCCTATATGCATATAGTAAAAACTTAAAAAATCTTCTTTAAAAGAACCCAAAGAGTTAGAGCTAAGATATTTAGCATGAAACATGTTCTAATAAGTGTCTACCAAGTTTGTTCAAATAAAAGCCCTGGGGTCAAAATTGGCCCTGCCCCAGGGGGTCATTGATTTTGCCTATATGCATATAGTAAAAACTTAAAAATCTTCTTTTAAAGAACTCAAATAGCTATGGCTAAGATATTTAGCATCAAACATGTTCTAATAGGTGTCTACCAAGTTTGTTCAAATAAAAGCCCTGGGGTCAAATTTGGCACCGCCCCGGGGTTCATTGATTTTCCTTATATGTGTATAGCAAAAACTTAAAAAATCTTCTTTGAAAAAACCCAAATAGCTAGAGTTAAGATATTAAGCATGAAACATTTTTTAGTGAGTGTCTACAAAGTTTGTTCAAATAAAAGACCTGGGGTCAAAATTGGCCCCGCCCCAGGGGTCATTGATTTTCCTTATATGTGTATAGCAAAAACTTAAAATCTTCTTTGAAAAAACCCAAATAGCTAGAGTTTAGATATTAAGCATGAAACATCTTCTAGTAGGTGTCTACAAAGTTTGTTCAAATAAAAGCCCTGGGGTCAAAACTGGACCGGCCCCAGGGGTGTCATTGTTTTTAACTATAATTATGTGTATAGTAAAAACTTTAAAAAAAATCTTCTTTTAAAAAGCCCAATGAGCTAGAGCTTAGATGTTTAGCATGAAACATCTTCTTATGGGTGTCTACCAAGTTTGTGCAAATAAAAGCCATTGGGTTAAAATTGGCCCTGCAACGTTTGGGGGGGCTATATACAGGTGAGCAACCTCAGGGCCATCATGACCCTCTTGTTCATTTCATAACAATGCTTAAAAGTTATTTTTGTGCTAATTAAATAACATTTTATGTACATATTTATAATAATACATGTATTCTTACTTCTTTATGATAAAGTACCTTTAAAGTATTAAAAACTGTGGTAGATTTAATGTACCTTTTATTCATGCATGCATTAACATCTGCAGAAGCACAAGGACACATTTAAAACCAGAGCCCACAGGGCAATGGATTTAATAATGTCCGAGTGTTAATGAGTGAACAAAACTTTCTTTGTATTAAAGATGTGCTAAATATTAATTTCATATTTGCTAAATAATGTACTGGTCCTTCACATTTATGTGAGTTCATCTCAGTGCATCCTTGTGTTTGCCTAATTATGTCAAGGACATTGGCAAAAACTTTGCAGTTTGGTGCCAGAAAGCAGTTTCTTTCATTTTTCTACCATGATAAGTTTTAATTTTGTAACAAAACGTAGCAGAAGGCTTTTCCATTCAATTAATACACAGGTATGACATTTTTGCACTGAGGTGAACATTCTTTTGTCATCTCTGCTAATGGCATTTGCTTTTTAAATAGGACTAATCAGCTTGAAGGCTTTTGAATAATTATCTGTTTATTAGGGTTTTTTTAACGTACAATTGCTATTTCAGACATATTAATATAACATATACTAACTGATGTCTCATGTAACATGCTTATCCTTTTTATGCCCCCACTAATTAGGGGACAAATATAGATTTTCCCTTGTCAGTTTGCCCCATTCTCATGCTGTCCTGAAAATACAGTGGAATGTGCAGGCATTTATATAATGGACACATTTATAACTGAAATATTTTAGGTTTATTTTAAGGTTTTCTATTACGCTAATGTTATTGTGTTTTGTTAGTAGAATGATGTATGTGAATTTTATTTTTTTTAAACATGCCTAGATATTTTCTTCAGTGTCAAAGTCTTGCTTCTAGTCATAGATATATGAAACTTTAGGATATGTACGATTTTTGTGTGTATTTCTTTAAAGGGACTCCACTGAAGTATTTTGACATGATAGGACTGGATTTTTTTTGAGATTATCGTTCAAATTGATGTAGATTTATACCAATAACTGATGTACAAAATTTGAAATTATTTGCTTACTCCATTTTTTCCAAGAATATTTATTATAATTTAGAAAATGACTCAAAGTTGAAAAGTGTTGCAAAGCTTTTCACTCAAATTGGATAAGCAATATTACAAAGTATGATTTTCAAAGTTATTTCTGGGCATATTTTTCAATGATCTTTTGCCTATCTTTCTGTTTTGAGTGCCCAGATTAATCTATGTAAGACATTACAATTATATGTTTTAGGCTTATGGACCTCAGTGGAGTTCCTTTAAGTTGTTTTTTTTGTACATTTTATATATTACAACACATGTAATATATATTCATGCTGTCATTTTTCATAATTAGCTGATTAAGAAATTCAATGCTTTTTGTCTAAAAAATCAGTAATCTAAGTAAATCTTGTGTGAAAAAGTTTACTATTCAAGGTGAAATATTTTTTCCTGTAAATAAGAGCTGCATTAGGCGAAATGTAAATTTTGCTTTAAGTGAAGAATGTCTTGGTTTTTCTTTTAAAATGAAAAATGTCTTATATCCCTGAAAATCCTCTCTTATCATGGGTACTTTTTTCTGGAAAAAACAAACAAACAAAAAAACAACAACAAAAACCATTGAATATTTTTGGTGAAAAACATTAAAGCCTGTGAACAGCGGATGGAAATGAGTTGCACTTTTTTAGTGGAGAGTATTTTCTTTTTTTTCTAGAAAACATTTATGTAAAACGAACAACATTTTAGCTTTTGGCAGTAAACAACTTTTAAGGAAATTTATAAAATTTTTGGCCAATGAAATATTTCAAAGACAAAAGTGTTCCATTTCATATCTATAGTTTCAGTGTAAGTACAAATCCAGTTAAAATATAAT